GACACAGCCCTGCCCCTTCCTGGTGGCACTGGTCTTCAGGCCCGACGCTCTGCCTTTTCCTCGACGAGCAAACATCCAGTCGGCATTCACCCTTTCCAAGCACCCCTGGCCCGATCCAACAGCGCCCCTGCTTTACTCACCGGCCCGCACGCTAAGCTCCACTAGCACCTGACGTAGGGGAGCTTGGGGTTGGGGGTCTGCATTTGGGCCCCGCTTGACTGGCCTCAGACACTAGGTGTGGTCAACTCTTTGGGCAGTGCCGTGCCAACTCCCTCACCTGCCATCTGCGTCCCTGAAGTGCTGTATGGCAAAAATGTAAAAATACCACATCCACGTACATGTAAGTGATGTGCATATTTCGTTGGTTTCTATAACAACAGCTTTATTACAACCACCACTGAGCATCCCCCGGCAGTGAACCAGGTACCAACTTTCCATCTCTACTTAGCCCTGTTCCCCACCCCACCCTTGGGCTGGCCAACTCCACTTCCTTCTCAAGTATTTTTTTTTTCTTTTGGTTATAAATTACTGGACAATAGTAAGCTGTTTTCTGGTGTTGCTCTGTAATGCACCGTATTTATTATTTTTTTCCTTTTTACCTTTGACCCCCCTTCGCCCATTCCCTCTCAAATATTTCTGCTTTCCTGTTCTACCTGTGGGAAACACCAGACGTCTAGCTATTGCCACTTTGTGCTTGTCTTATGAATGATGTTGTCTCCCTGTCTCAACTGTGAACCTCGTGATGACGAAGGCACACACTACGTCATACAAGTGTGGTCCCCTCGGCATGAAAATCTCATTTTGAAGCAGCAGTGACAGATCACCCTGGACATTAAGCCTCATGCTCTGCCGGATGTATCACGTGAATAGTGACAGAGCCTTTAAAAAGAGTAAGCGGAAAAAAGGGAAGGCCGCAGAAAGTTCAAAAACAACAGGGCTGGAGGCGGGTGTCACACAGTGGTACGTCAGTTCTACAATGCCTGTTTAATCGGAACCTTGTAATAAAAGTTTACATACATAAAATGTTTGGCTTTTTTATCAAAAGAACATCCCTGGTGTTCCCGGCCCGCCGCGCGCGGAGGGGGGGCGGTGGGAACCGGCTGCTGTGGGAATGCAGAAGTGCAGGGCGCCGTCATCTTCCCCCGCGGTGCCGGGTGCCGGGTGCCGGGTGCCGAGTGCATCCCGCGTCTCGGTGCGTGAGCCCTCCCCCGCGCCGACTTCCTTCAAGTAACTGGACGCACGCGCGGCCGCGTGCGCCTGGCAGGACGCTGCCCGGGCGCTCAGAAGACGAGGAAGAGCAGGGCCTCGTGCCGCGGCAGCACGACGTGCTCCACGGTGCGCTCCATGGAGCGCACCTGCTCCGGGGAGGCGGTCAGGAAGGCCAGCGGCCCCACGCGCTGCTCCGCGCAGGAGTGGCACAGGTAGCCTCCCTTGTTTTCCTTCCTGTTGCTCTGCAGGGAGGACAAGACAGAGGTGAGGGGGCCAGTCGGGGACGAGGGTTTCCGCCCACGAGTGCCCGCAGAGCCGTCCAGCTGCGATGCTGACGGTTCCTGACCTGTGCGACCTCTGAGGTCGCACTTCCCAGGCACGGGCGCCAAGGGCGACGCTAGGCTGGCAAACTCCGCGGAGCCGGAGCAGAGATCCGGGTTTACTAAGGCGGGGCACGCGGAGCCGCGGCCACCTCGCCCAGGCCCCCGCCTGCATTCTCCCTGGCACGTCAGCCACAACCCGCCCGCCCGGTCTACGCACGCGGGGCCCACACCGTCGCCTCTGACACAGAGGAGGACCTGGCGTCTCCCGGGCCTTAGACGCAGACAGCCCCCGATGGGGTCATGCACGTTTCTCCCGCATCTCCCGCGCCCACGGCCCGCCGTGTGACACAGACGAGGCCGGCGCCCGGCCCACGTACGTAGGTGATGGGGAGCTTCCTCAGGGTGAGCGCGGTGTCCGCCGGGATGGCGTTGCTGCACTGCCCCACGCAGCAGCGGGCCACGCCGGTTTTCAAAACGTTACTCGTCAGCTCTGCTTGCAAGAAGTACTCCTAGAAGGGAAGAGCGAGAAAGAGTGACACAGGGCCTCTGCCACGCTCCTCCGGACACTCTCGCAGGCCCCGGGGCTCGCTGCCAGGCCCGCGGCTGCCTGACGCGTCTCTCCCGGGCTGTAAGTCCCGTGAGACCCCCAAGCACACTACTGTCCCTCCCAGCACTAACCCCAGCGCCTGGCATGCAGCAGGGGCTCTATACACCTAATATTTGTCAACTGAATGGACCATAAATGAACCGCTTATGCCGCCCACAGTCCTTGGTGACGTCTTGGGCATCTGACATTTTCACAGGTGTGAAGACCGGTGACAACAGGGAAACAGCATCACTCCGGGAGCTGTGAAGGGGCTCACACCAAACTGTGCACTGTCCTGGCAGACGACCGCGGCCAGCTGTCGCGAACACTGTCACAAGGGGGAAGAGCTTCGCGGGAAGCCCTGGCCTTCTGAGACCCAAAGGCGCATGTCACCACCCGCACCGCTGTCCTTAAATCACGCCAGCAGGTCCTTTGCTTGCAAGGCACCGTACATATAATCTTCACCAACAACTTCCTGGGGGTGATACTGTCATCGTCCCCATTGCACACACGAGGGCATGAGAGCGGAGAAATTACTTGTGCAAAAGATCGCAGAGCTAGGCCGCAGCAGCTGGGGGCTCACACCCCCTCCCCCAGTGTGCTCCAGTCCAGAGCCTGTGCTCTTCATCACCAAGCAACAGAGTCCTCCTCCGTCGCTCCTGTAATTTCTAGGTACAAACCGAAATGACACGGAAGCACGTGACTCGGCAGCACCTCCGTCACGTAGGAAGTGCTCCACAATTACTGCTGACGCAATGAGCGCGCGCACGCCACGACCACGCAGCTCCTCCCGGAACGCCAGTTCTCCCCTCGATACCCCCCTCGGGGGTGCAGTGTCTCAGAGACGAGACTGCCTTCGGGCGTCCCCTCCGCTCTCCCCGATCGACGGCGAAGCAGCCGTTTCACCAGTGCGTCGTGGCCCCTCTGTCCCCCTCCTCGGGTGCAGTTAGTACCACTGGCCTGTTTCGCCGGGCAGGAAACAGCAGTGCAGCGTGATCAGCACCTCACCAAGGTCACGAAGTGCCCAGGCGGAAGACCTGGGCTGTGACCGAAGCGGTCTGATCAGAGGCCGGGGGAAATCAGGCCCGCCTCCAAACGGGAGGGGACACTTGTCCCCACTCGACACACACGGAGCGCCACCCACGAGCTGGGCACCGTCCTGAGGGTGTACCTGCGAGATTCGGATCGAGAATCTGAGATTCTGGGAGGCTAAGCAGCTGCCTGTCAGCGTCGAGCAGAAGGCACGCCCCTTCATAATCAATAATGGAATGGCTCTCCCCTTCGCTAAGTCATGACCTGAAATAAATGAAGGCACCGGGAGGCTCACAGTGACGAGGGACCTTCTGGAGGGGTCAGAGCAGAGTGGGCTGCCTGCCCTGCGCTCGGTGACAGGGGGACAACGACTCACCTTCACTCTAGAACCTCGCCACGCACAGCTCTGCTGCTCACAACGCGCTTTCCTTCCTCTCCTGCCCCAGAACCTTCGAGATGCCCTAGAGCCTTCCTCTCTGAGCAGAAAGTGGACTTAGCCATGTCTGAAACAGGACATCCCCAAATTGATTCAGAGGCCGAATTAAATAATAAAAAAAAAAAGTACCGTCCTCTCACGTGAGGTCTTTCGGCCTCAGAAACACCCACTCGCACACATGGTCTGCACATCTGGGGCTTCCTCAGACCACCCCGTGGGCCAACAGGTGTATCCCAACAGGTGTATCTAGGGGGAAGTACTTCTCTAGATTCTGCATTCTTTTCTTTAAGGGAAAACTCATTTTCCCCATAAAATGTAGGCAGTCCCCAACTGATAAGCTTCCAGTGAGCTTTAAAAAGCCCGTTTGACCCTTCTACATAACCTGGTGGGCGCCACAGTATAGGATCTCTGGGAAGACTTTGGCAGCATCTAGAAAAACCACATATCCATTTATCCTTTACCCAGAAATTCAGATTCTAGAAATGTATCCACAAGATGCACTGGCAAGAAGAGAAAAGGACCTGCATGTAAGATTACGCACGTGGCATCGCTACCAAACGCGAACGGTGCAAAGAACCCAACGCCCATCAGAGAGAAACCGCGTACATCACGACGCGGTGACACAGAGAACGCGACCCAGCTGTCTAAGGAAATGAGGGAGAGCCGCGTGGACTGACGGGGGTGATTCCCTGCGTATCTCTCGGCGACAAGGTGAGGTATGAAACGTCATAGAGAGAATGCTGCCTTCTCTGGAAAAGGATAAAAAAGATATACCTATTTGAAAAAAAGAAATAGTGAAGGAGAAATCAAAAACTAATTTAAAAATAAGCTCTCAGTGACAGAGGGAGAGGAGGTCTGAAGGGGACAGGGATGGAATGAGACTTCTCTGAATACACCTGTTACAAAGTTTTGATTTGAAAACATAGATGTCTTAGGCGGCCAAAAAAGGTAATCAAATCGGAAAGAAACAAAGTGATTCCTATAAGAATTGCAAACAGACAAGTATATCTGTGATTAAATTGGTGATCAAACTGCAGAGGAAACCGGACCTATTTCAAGTGCCCGACGTCCTTACTGGGGTGTGGGGGCGCACGGCTGCCGGGAAACCTCGAATTCCATTCAGGGTTCTGACGCCAGCAATACTGGTGTCCGTTCACGACTTTTATACACGCAACTGATACTGTTAGGAACCCAGGTTTTCAGCGTAAGAGAAAAGATTCCAGTATAAGGGAAGTAAACACCTTGCTGTTATCTGGCTTGGACTGCAGGCCCGTTGTCACGAGGTATCAAGGTAAGCGGCTTCGGGCTCTGAAGACACAGATGCAGCCACGGGGAAGGCATGCACCAGCGCGCACGCTGCTGGTGGCGCGTGTCAGTGAGAAATCGAGAGGAAAGGTCAGAAAGTGCTCGTGGTAAAAGCTGGGACAGCACTGACCCCCAGGACGGGGTGCTGACCGTGGGGGCATATGGGATGGCTAGCAAACCCCAGGTCCTGCCTTCGGAGAACGTTCACGCGCCCTAACTGGAAACTACACATCTGTTTTACCTATTTTTCTTCTATTTAGCAATAAAAACTTTAAGTAGAAAGTTGCTGTTGAAATTACTGATATGAACTCTTGATTTCTCTTTTCAAAAATACGGATTACCTAGCTCTGTCCACTAAAAGGCGAACGATCTTAGCACTGCTGGAGGAGAGATGATGGATGCCACTGCCTCCTGGTGGGGGTCAATACAGAGCGAGCCCCTGCCCCACCCGCGGGTGCAGGACTCCTGCCAAGAGAGTCCGGCCTGGACCTAGAGAAGGAGAACCGGGTCGGGCAGCCACGGGCCAAGCTGCTCGACCACATGAGGGCGCAAACCCCGCCTGTGGAACACTATGTAGGAAAACCGACTCCGCTGAATGTGTGTGTGTCGGGGGGAGGTCTTGACTGCTCTATATTAAGAAACTTAAGAGACCCAACAACAAAATGTTTGACCCTGATTTGAACAAACCGAATGTAAAAAGGCATTTTGAGATAGTCATAAAAAGTATGATCACGGTTTGGGCAGTAGAGGCCACATGGAATTATTATGAATTTTATAAGATGATAATGGCACTATAGATTTGACAAAAAGGCCCTTTTTTTAATAGATGCGTATAGATATATATAGGGATGATCTGTATGTGGTAATTTAATGTTATTTTCTCGAGTTTTTTAAGTGTCTCAAAATTTTCCTAAGTTAAAAAAAAAAGCGCTAGTTAACCCATGCTGTGAAATGATATCACTGCTCTACGATACCTCCATTAAAAGTTAACCGACGTGACCACCTGGCTTTGTTACAGCTCTAACCACTACCTATGAGAAAAGCACACTGCAGGTGGTACTCGCGATCAGAGCTCATACGAAAACTTACGTGACACGTAGTGGTTATTTACACCTATAAATTATCATTCTACTCCATTCCCTGAGATTAAGAAAAGCCACGCTTATCTCTAAACTACGGGTCAGCAAACTACAACCAGGGGGCCAAATCCATTCCAGTGCCTGTTATAAATAAAGTTTTATTGGGACACGGCTGCGCTCATTTATTAATGGATTCTGGTGGCTGCCCTCATGCTACAACACCGGAGCTGAAGGGACGCTACAGAGACCCCATGGCCTGCAGAGCCTAGCAAATTTCCTGTCTGGCCCTTCAAAGAAAGGTCTCTGGAAGCGCCACTGGTGACTCAGGTACCTTGAGGATGCGAGCAAGGGAGCGGGCTTCGGTTCCGAGCTCTGCCGCGTGAGCGCCACACAAGGTGAAGTGGCACACACGGTGAGGCCCAGGCGAAGCACAGTGGCTCGGGGAGCGCGCGACTGAGTTCTAATTCCAGAAACGCTCTCACGACCACACAGGAATGAGGTGGGCCTTAGGAGCAAAGTCGGTGAGACTGCGAGGCGAGGTCTGACGCGGGAAGAAGCCGCTGCTGTTCTGCCTGTTCACAGAGAGCATCCACCTGCAAAGTCTGCCCCTGCTAAGCTCTGATCTCCTCCTCCTCCAAACTGTAGGAAGCAGTCCTGTTCGTTTACTGTCTGCCTCTTCCCCTACGAATTTCCTTCGCCTGCCATTATAGCTCCAGGGCCCAGAAAAGTGCGTGGCACAGGTGAGGCGCTCAGTATTCAATAATGGGTGTCAGCGTTCGGTCTTACCACCGCTGAACAACTCTGAGACTGAAAATATCACTTGTTAAGAAATGACTACTGCCCCACACCTCCACCCCAACTCGAGGTTCACGGCCATTGGCAGCAATGCTTCGATCCTAGAGCTCCACGCACCCTCACCTCCTCGGAAGAACATGTGATACGGCACTCAGACTAAATCCTCCCGCTACACAAAGTTGTATATGTTTTGGAAATAACTAAGGAAGAAAGAGTATTTCTAGTCATTTTACACTTAAGTTTTAGGTTTCAGGCTTAAGCATCTCCGGTTCAGGGGAAGATGGACTAAGTAGTAACTGTTCACTCAAATTTCTGTTCTAGCTTCCAAGAGGGTGGAAAAGACCAAGTGGTTTATACTCCAGCCGTGAGAGGCAGGAAAGAGGGAGAAACGGGAGTGGGGGCGAGGCTGGTGTTCAGGATGGTGTGGGTGCTGACACTTTTCTGCCTCTCTGCCGGTGACGAGAGGCCAGGCGCCCCCGGATGGACTAAGTAGTAACTGTTCACTCAAATTTCTGTTCTAGCTTCCAAGAGGGTGGAAAAGACCAAGTGGTTTATACTCCAGCCGTGAGAGGCAGGAAAGAGGGAGAAACGGGAGTGGGGGCGAGGCTGGTGTTCAGGATGGTGTGGGTGCTGACACTTTTCTGCCTCTCTGCCGGTGACGAGAGGCCAGGCGCCTGAATACGCATTCTCCCCCGGCAAGGACACGTTCTTTCCAGACACGTCTACTGGTGGAACAGCAGGTGCCAGTTCAAAGGGTCTAGGGATCGAGAGGGAGACAGCTCGGAGGCGGAAAATGTCCTTGCTGCTTTTTCCCTAAGGGTGTTGAGCACCAACCGAGCAAGGGAGAAATTAAGAAACACATGAGTACAGTTGATATTTTCAAAATAACTTTTAGAAGTGAATTAGGAAAGAATTGAGAAAAGAACCCACGTGGTCATCGCTTTGGTTAGGGCGCTTCCTGTTCTAGCAACGGGCCCTTCTCATGCAACCCAGGACAGTCCGAACGCTGTTGAATTAACTTGTGCTACCTCTTACCCCAGCCAAAGTCAAAATGTTCTCCAACGACTTGGTCATGATGAGACGCTTCTTAGCACGAGTTACTGCAACATACAGTAAATTCCATTCATCCTCAGAAAATGACTCTAAAAAAAGTAAAGGGGAAAAAATATCAATTCACAAGCCTGCTTACAAAAATGCATGTTCTCATCTAAATGTTTACTACCCCTCACCCACCCACTCAAGATCTGCTGGCTGTGTATACAAAATTTTCCCGCAAGTTCCAACCCCCAAAATGAATAAAACCCCAACAGACTCGTGGCACAAAATACTGAGTTCTGGTTAGTGCCACCACTGATAAGGCCTGGGGACCGGTTCACTGGTTATTTGCCACCTGCGACGTGCCCGGTGACTATTTCCGTTGGTTCTCCCAGGTTTCTCCACGGCGATCCCGTGGGACCGATGGGGAAACAGGCTCACGGGGGCCAAGTCACTTGGACAAGCAAGGCTGCAGCTAAGCAAGGGTCCAGGAGTCGAACCCACGTCTCCAAAACCCACGTTCCTCGCTTTTCCTGACGTTCTTTTACTCAGGCTGGTCTGGGGACGCCTCACGCTGTCCCATGACAACACGTTCCAGTCCTCACTGCCCACCTTATGCCTCCCTCGACTGCAGTCCCTGGCACAGTGGTGAGAACGCAAGGAAGACCTGTGACTGCGCTGAAGCCACCACACTGCGCACTCTACATGTGGGCTGTACAGCTGTGAATTGCATCTCAGGAAGCTGATAACCGCCCCCAAAATATATACGTAATCACGTGACGACCAGCGTGGGGAAGAAGGCAGCGGTGTAGCAGACAAACTTCTCCTCCCCAGCACGAAGCCGTTTGCATCTCTCTGTGGCCATTTCTGTTCCCCACTCCACTCCGATTTATGTTCGACACAATGTCTTTCTCTCTTTTACTGAATAGAGTCATCGGATCTATGGAATTTTTAGTATTTCTATTTCAGCCTGCCAATGTATGCGATGCCCCGAATTTTGGATCTACGGTTCACAGAGTTTTTATTTGTTTGTTTGTAGAAAAACTTCATTTTATTCTAAGATTTGAAACCGAAACAATAGCACTGAAGCTTAGTTTCATAACTACCTTGAGTATAAATTCGTACAAAAGCAAACAAATGATAATGAGTGCTTACTATTTCACCTTGTATGATTTTTCTGGCGTCTTTAATAAAAAGGAGAGTTAATTAAAGGAAAAAACCACGGTGGTGAGCACATAAACTGCATGTTTTCAAGCTTTCGCGAGTCTGCAGGTGAAAAACTGAGCGTGCAAAGCTGAAGGGCTGAAGCAGGCTACACGGGGCACTACTACCATGACGGCCCAGCACGCAGCCCCGAGACGTGGGCTCTGGAAGTTTAGTTTTCTTTTATCTTTTTTTTTTTAAGGCGAGGCAACCCTTGGTTGACCTCACAGATTGCCAGGACCTCATCAGCTTACAATCTCTTATTTTTTTTATTTTCTATGCCTATAGCACCTGGTCTTCCTAGGTGGTCTCCCATCCAAGTACTAACCAGGCCCGACCTTGCTTAGCTTCTGAGATCAGATGGGATCGGGCTTGTTCAGGGTGGCATGGCCGTAGACGGAAGTTTAGTTTTCTAAAAAAGTATAGTATGAGAATAAAAAATTAAGACTCGGAGGTACTTTTTGCCTTCTAGAAGAATCCTTCCGAAAAGCCACACCATCCAATGAAAAGCAAGGCCTCCAAAGGAAGCGTCCACAGCCCACTCTTAACGAAGCTCGTCGTACAGCCAGTCCCCTTACCGACTCTGAAGTGGGGCAGCTGGGCGAGGTTGTGCCTGGCACAAGGCACCTTCACGAAATCATCCAGAACGTGCACCGTATCAAACTCCAAGCCTTTGGCCTTGTGGACGGTGCCCAAAATGTACTCTGGAATAAAAACACAGCATAGCGTTAGGCGGGGGCTTGGCACAAAGAAAGAGACGAGAGAGAGGAAAAAACGTTCTCTTCCTACTATACTCTTAAAACTCTAACTTTGTTCTCCTGCCTGTGTGCGGCTTTGTGGGAAAAGAGAGGAACAAGAAAATATAGACAGAAGAAAAACAAGTCAAAAGAGGAAAAGAAGAAAATCGGTTGCAGGTGAGTTCGCGCAGCTCAGAGTCACATTCCAGAGCTCACGGTGACCTGCCTGTGACCTGTGCTTCATATATGAAGGAACGGAAGCGCAGAGGAGGGGTGACTAGCTTGTGCAAAGTCGCCCGGCAGCACAGCTGAGACCAGGAAGTCCCACCGTGCCGGCCTGGAGGCTGAACAGACGGGAGGATGCGGCCCTGCCCCCTTCTCTCAGGCAAGGCCAGGAACCAGCAAAGCCACCCGTGGTCACGCGAGATAATCGCACAGGCAAGACGTGGCAGAAGCCCGTGTAACCCTCCTCCTGGTGGCAGTAAAGGATGGAATGTGCCCTTACCTGCGAAGTCCAAGTCTTCTATGTGGCATTTTTCTATCCTTTCCACCAGCTCCGGAATCCTGATGTTATACTTTTCAACAACAGCAATCTTGGCTTCGAGTTCCTTATCCTCGGCTGCGGTCACATATCTCTTAAAGCCACTAAAGCCTTCTTTGTGCACCCATCTTCTAATAAACCTGTCTTTAATCACGAGGTTTCCTAAGGAGGACACACACAGGTTACCGTGGGCCAGGTGGCACTGGCAATGGTGGCAGCGGCTCCACGTCCCTAACCAACTGCACAACAGGTGGGAGATGCAGGGTCTAGTCCCGACTGCCTCACTAGGCTGCTGTGTGACCCTGGGCAAGTCGGTGAGATGACCTGTGCTTTAGCCTCTCCGTCTCCGAAGTGACGATCAAAAGCCCTACGCTTGAGATCCTTCCCAACATCACAGGGATTTGAAATAGCACAGTAATGAAAAGGAAGGTGCTATAGAAATACTAGCAGTGACCATTTGGGGCCCATGGAGGAGTTTTAATGCGTCAAGTTGCCCAGGCAGACGGGGAGATGGGGAGGGAAGACAGCCCAAAAGAAATTTAGACTCCTGAAAGAAGGATCTGGGAAGAGCTATCAGTTCCTCTGAAACAGGAGGCCCTGAGCATCCCAGTCTTGAAAGAAAAGGAGACACCAGCTCCACCCACGTCCAGAGGGAAGGTAAGATCTCTGAGAACAAGCCCGTCCTATCCCATCCCTCGTCACCACCGGGCTTCCGTCCACTGCACGGTGGCCAGCAGGGTACTCACGTTTCTTCCGTTCTTCCTCTGGCTGCAGAAGGATCCAAATATCAATGATTCTGTCCAATCCAAATGATTTAGTCCCCTGAAAAAAAATTTTTTGGTGGGATTTTTGTTCTGTTTTTTGTTTGTTTGTTTCTGTTGTTTTAACAAAGCAAAGTAAACCGAATGTAGAGATGGGATTCTGACATGAGACAGTTTCTTGGAAACGGATCTCAAATTGCACCCACAGCATAAAGACGGTGAGCAGGAAGCTCATCGAGCACAAAGCACGAGGCTATAACACAGCCCGGAAAGGCAGGATCATCAAATGCTGCATTTTAGCTGCTACCTCAAACACACCCTCTGTTTTTTAAAAAGGCAAGAACTACCTGCACTTTGCTTTCCTGTCACAAAGGAGCAATTTAAATCATCTACCTTCCAAAAATATAAAAGGTTGCAATGAAGAATAAAGTGACACCTGAACACAAAGTGTGGAGTGAGGAATCTTGCCATCGTTTCTTTTGAGGGGAGAACTAGAGAATGCCTACAGGCCCAGCTTATTGCATGTTTTAAACAGCGGTCCCCAACCTTTTCCCACCAGGGCCTGGTGCTCCCATGAGCATCTAGTGCTTGATGATCTGGCGCTGGGGAGCGGCTGCAGATGCAGACGGAGCTTCGCTCGCTCCTCTGCCGCTCACCTCCCGCTATGCGGCCTGGTTCCTCACAGGCCACTGACCGGTACTGGTCTGCAGGCCAGGGGCTAGGGACTCCTGTCTTAGAAGGTTACCTCCTAGAGGAAAGGGCCTGACTAGGTCACAGTTCAGCCCAGTTCCACTAGGAGCAAGGGGCCCCACACTCGCTCAGTAGCAGGCCCCGGCACAGAGGCGGCACGGGACGAGGGCTCCACACTCCGAGGATGTACTGTCATTTTGGGAAGGGACACAAAACACATCGACATAAAACAAGGAGCAGATTAAGAGAATATACTCTGCGACTGGAAACCAGATGCAGTCGCGGGTAATGATGCCACGGGGGAGGAGAAGACACAGAGGGGAAGAGAGCAACTTACGGACGATACTGCGAAAGCACTTTTTCCTTACAATAACGAGAATGGCTAAGTTATGCTACATCCACTGGAGGGAATGTTATAAAGTCATTAAAGTCGCAACATGAAAGATATGCTTACGTGTTGAGTATACCTTTTCACGTACACCATAACTGCAATTACGTGGAAGTATACATCTACAAGGACACGGACGTGAACATACGGAAGACTGTGATGAAGGCTGAATTCTTTTCCTATAACTTGGTTATATAATCTTTTAAAAATCTATTTACTTTTGATTACAGTTGACATTTAATATTATTTTATATGAGTTTCAGGTATATAGCATAGTGTTTAGACATTTATATAATTTGACATGATCCTCATTAAAGTCGCAACATGAAAGATATGCTTACGTGTTGAGTATACCTTTTCACGTACACCATAACTGCAATTACGTGGAAGTATACATCTACAAGGACACGGACGTGAACATACGGAAGACTGTGATGAAGGCTGAATTCTTTTCCTATAACTCGGTTATATAATCTTTTAAAAATTTATTTATTTTTGATTACAGTTGACATTTAATGTTACTTTATATGAGTTTCAGGTAAATAGCATAGTGTTTAGACATTTATATAATTTGACGTGATCGCGTCTGATTAGTCTCGTACTCACCTGGCACTATATAGTTATTACAGGTTACACAATCTTTATAAATAAAAAAGAAAAGTCAGAACATCACTTAATCATGATTCACTCAATATACATACCGAGTGCCTACACATAGTAGGCCCTCAAAAACATTTTTTCATAAATAAACGAGTGCATGTCTTCTAGTCATATAACTGCTCCAAAGGGTTAAAAATGCCATACACATGCCACAAGTCCCCGTGAGACAGGTAAAGGAAAGGCAAAGTTTTCATCTTAGAGATGGAGAGAACGAGGCACACGGTGGTTGTGACTTGCTGCGAGCCACACAGTTAGTGACAGAGCCAGAGCCAGAACCCAGGTGTTCACACTGTGACCACGGGCGTGGTCCCGCTGTGCTGTCACCTCTCTTGTGCTTGCACGCATGAACGACACATACCGGAGCTCGTCGAGAGCCAGCGGCCTCATTTGCACAGTCAAAGGGGAGAAGGGCGCTTACTTTTTTTTAAGAGTAGAAGAAAAGGTCCTCGGTCTGCATTGGGGCTGACTCCACAGAAACGTCTGGCTGGCTTAATCAGAACGGCCAGGGAGAAAAAGGCCAGTCGGGGCACAGATGGTGAAAACTGTCAAAAACCCAAGTGCTTGCTGGCATGATATAACCCTAACTAAACCGAACGCTCTAACCGGCTAAGCCTGTCTGCGACATCTCAGCACGCGAAGTCAACAGAAATTTACTCTTACCCCAATCAAATGTATCCTCGCAGGCACCTCTCCATCGGTCACCCGTACGGCCTCGTCGAACACATTGGCATTGGTCCGGGACAAGAGGGCCACCTGCCCCTTTGTGTCACCTCGAATGCCACCTTTTGGGAGAGAGCACAAAGTCTACGGCAAATCCAAATAAAGAGGAAAACTAATTTTTGTAACGGAGTAACTGAAAGCCTTACTCTGATGGTTTCCTCCAACCAAAGTCTTCTTCCTTACTCTCTTGCAGACGTCCAAGATAGTAGCTCCCACGTACGCGATTTCCACACCGAATCTAAAACTCTGTTGGAAAACAGTAAGATGAGAGGAATTAATGATGCTCCCTGAGCATGTGAGCCCCTCCACCAGTGCTGCATCCTGGCCTTGCCAGGCCCAAGTGACGGTCCCCAACTTGCCGTCCCTGGAAAAGGCACCCGAAAATCGCCTTGTAAACCCCCCTGGACTGCATGGGAGCCTGCCACCGAAGGCCGCCGACTTTACATCTAAGTTTTCAGAATAGCATTTTCTACCTTGAAGCCTTAGAGTTACCCATTTTTCTTTACCCCTTGCCCCGAAATCCAAATGTTGACAACTCACCCACCATGATTTCTATACTATTTTTCTTACCACTGCTGCCAAGTCGGCTCTGAAACGCAAGCGTCATGCCTCACCCACCTGGTCCGTCCCCACCCGCCCCGTCCCCCTGCATCTCCTCGTACTGCCAAACGCCCCCCTACGGCTGTCCGATGAGCCACACGCTCTCCTCCGACCATGCCCTGACTACAAAAAGGAAGAGCAACACACGAAGAAAAAGTGATGCGTCCATTTTCAAGATTCCTCACAGCCGTGACAGCCTATTTCCCTTTCTTCTCAAAACCAACAGCAAACTTTCCTCTAAGCGAACCTACGCTGCTTTCCACATCGAACCTAACGAGGACGAGGGAGGGCAGGGAGCGTTGCTCCGCTTGCCCCTTAGACTCCTCCAGCGTGAGTTTGAAACCACTGGCCCCCGTAACCGGCCACAAGAACAAGCGTTTCCAGCACGTTTCCCGCACGCTCCCTGCCTTGGCATGGGGCCAAACGGTCCCCTCCCCTTCTACTCTTAAAAAGAAGTAAGATGCTCAGCTCGACACCCTACTTCCTTGCCCACTGCAGCTGGAAAGGCATCATTCTCCCCCAAACTCATGGTATGTGCTGGCTTTTCCATGCCTTTCTATCTAAAGGTAAGAAAGTATTACATGCTTTGGTGAACACCATAATGCAGCCTAAGAAAAACAAGACTTTCGACGAGACTTTTAGTACTCTGTCGCTATAGAATTATTCTGGGTGAACCACAACCCAAATTATAAAATGAATATCTGTGATATAAATAAATGACTGAATAAATAAGTTCTTCTCTTGCAGAAGAACTCCAAATAATTTATATGGGCGCTCTAACACCTAGCCCTTGAGCGAGGGCCGAGCATAGACTTCCTTCCACCGTATACCGTGTAAAATGGGGGGTAACGTCACAGTGGAGGAACTCGGCAAGCACTACCCCAGCTAGATGATCAAGGTCAGCGTCAATGGCCATAGATCAGGTGCCCTCCATGCTGTGATGAAAACAACAAGTTTTCTTCTGAGATCTCCCTCCCCCAAACCCACGAGATTAGTCTGATCGTGAGAAAAACATCAAACGAATTCCAGTACAGGGGCGCTCTACAAAACGCCTCACCAGCACCCTTCTAAACTGTCGAGGTCATCAGAAACAAGGCACGTCTGAGAAACTGTCGCATCCGATGGGGACCTAACAAGGTGTGACAACTACATATATGGTAATCCTAATAAGATGCTGCCACGGAAAAAGACATTAGGTAAAAACCAAGGAAACTTGAATGAACTATGGGCTTTATAATAATGTGTCATACACGGTTCATTAAAAGTGGCAAACACTTTGCATTAATATTAATAATAAGGGAGACGAAAGGCACAGTTTGTGTGAACTTTCTGTACTATTTTCTCGATTTTTCTGTAAATCTGAAACTAAAAAAATTACTTGAGCAGACGAAACTCCAGATCACTACAGCACACAACAGGACCTCAGGGGAATAAAGCCACAGAGTAGTCTACAGGACTTTCTAGAACACAGCGGAGGAGTTCAGATTACACCTAACAGCTGGCACATCTCACGTCCTCTGCCTGGAAGTGACTTTCTTCAAAGTGCTTCTCGCACCTCTTGATCTCGTGACTCTTCACACTTTTAAAAACTGCTGAGGTCCCGAAGTTACAGCCATCTCTATTTCCCACATTAGAAACTTTAATTCATTTAAAAATAACAGTAAGTTCATTACATAATGACATTAACGACATATTTTTAAAACTGTATTTTCTAAAACAAATTTAGCAAGAGAGTGGCACTGTTTTACATGTTTGCAAATCTCTTTAAAATGCCCAGACTGATTAAGGACAGCTGAATTTTCAGTGCTGTCTGCATTCAATCTGCGGCAATGTGTTGTTTCGGCCGAAGTGTATAAAGAAAACTCAGGCTTACTTATGTGTGCTGAAAAGGGGAGGAGGGTTCCAATGGCCCTTTTGGACGATCGAGGACACCGTGAGCGTCTTTGTGACACTCCCAGTGGCAGACGAAAGCTTCCCAAAATTTTGACTTCACTTGAAGAATTTTATCTCTGGCAACGAACACTGGTCAGTTGCTTTCCTTAAAGTTACATGTCGTGTCATTTGTTTTTGGAAATATGCCTGAAACCCAAGTCTGAATAACCGGAGTTGGTCTACCAACCGTGCTTTCAAGGACAAATGACCCCGCACAAAACGGTGACAGTGTAGCTCACAGCTCAGTTACAAAAGCTCTCTTCATCAGACAGCCGACGTGCTTCGCCATGCAGAGTAGCTCACTGCTACTTCCCGTTTCATCGCCCGGAGTGTTAAAGAGACGAACTCCAGGGACAGCAGTTAACAACTGATCATTTCTGCTGTCAAGTACATTCCTGAGTGAACTGTTCTGTCTTCTTCCCGTGTCTTTGTCTTTAACCTCCGTGAGTGCTACAATAAGGAACTCGACGACCAGCCGTCCTGTCTGGTGCTGGCGCCTTGCTTCGTGGGCGGGACAATAAGGAACTCGACGACCAGCCGTCCTGTCTGGCGCTGGCGCCTTGCCACCAGCAGCTGTACCCACCACCGCCCTGCAGCAGCAATGCAGAAGGGCGTCCTGACTTGGTGGATCCCCTCAGAATCGCCACTTACAAGTGAGGGTTGGCTACCTACTGCGAGCCTGACACAGAACCATGCACAGGGCCTGGCACAGTCATCACTGAGAATCGAGGGTAGGGAACCACGGGGCTTGCTCAGTGCCTCTGGGGACTCGGATGCAAAGAGCTCTTACCTGCGTGAGATAGAAGACGTGGGTGTGTGGGACTGTAAACAGCGCGTTGACTGCACCACGGAAGGTGTAGATCTGCTGGTGTGGGTCCCCCACGAAGATCTTCCCACACGGCTGAGACAGAACTATGTTCATGATCGCTGCAACCAACAACGGGCCAAGTAAGCGAGCCGAAAGAATGCCAACCGCATCGCAAAGAAACCATGCTTCAGACAGAAAGGGATGAAGATGCGTTCACGAAATCAAGCCAGAGCACACTGGACAACAAGCTATCTTTTCCTGCAGGATAGGTACACTCAATCCAATAGTGGACAAAAAAAACAGTTTCTAATCCTGGGAATGTAGACTATTTTTAGTCCTGGGCAAATTATTGTATAAGAAACCACAAAGGCAAATTGTCTTTTCTAATATTATAACTCAAGGCTCCCAAATGTCCTACAAAGTCATGCCGTCTATTTTCTATTAACCACCTGAAAAATATACAACACAGACTGTTCAGTCTAAATTGAGTACCTTTCTCCACCCAGCAGGTCTAGATCCCTGTCATGTGATGACCTACGCTTAGTCAACATTTTAAAAATAACTGAAGCAGAACATTTATAGGAAAATTAATCTGCTTTGCATGGGGGAGGGGGAGTAGTTATCACTACTGAAATGCAAAGTCAAATAAGAAAGGATTTCGGAATGACCAAATGTCACCTGCTCCTCTCATTCGTGACAAAGAAGAATATAACGAAGCTTATAACACACATACGTCCTCGTACATAGCAGTGATACTGTTTCTATGTATTTGAGATGTCCTAGATAGCTTATCACCTGGGGTACAGTCCTGCGCCTCGTCCACAAAGATGGCGTCGAAAGAGGCGAGCAAAGGCTTGCTCAGCTGCCAGAGTTTCAAATAGCCTAAAAGGAGGGAGCAGCGAGAGTCAGAACTTGTGACTGAAGCAGTTACGTTAACAGACGTCGAGCTCGGGGAAGTTACGCACCGTCATGAGTCATCTGGTAGGCCTCTTCTTTGCATTCCCCCAGTTTCCGCATGTTGTCCCAGAGTCGGCTTGCTTCGAGGACGCTGTTCTAGAAAATAAGTAATCGGTAACTCGTAGTTCAAAACCCGGAAAGACAACACCCAGAAATCACACTTTCGTTTCCATGGACAAAGGAAGCCGAGGTGAGCCGAGGGCACCACCACGGCTCAGTGAACGACAGTCACTTCCTTAAGCTTCTCCTGCCTCCGCGACTGCCTTTAAATAACATCGAGTGTGAAGGTAAGTGACAGCTGGGGCCCTACTCAGCCGAGTGACAGAACACTGCCCAGAGAGCACAACGTCTGACGGACCAGAAAAGGCTGGATTACCTCTCTACATTTATGACTGACAGGTAAATTCATAAAGAGAAAGGCGAGCGATTGCAAAACCCTGGTCGAAGTTAGAAACGAGACCCCCGATCTTTAGACTCGCCCAGCGGCCCCAGCGACACGCTTTGCTAAGCCCTGGCTGGGTGCCTCATGTGCTCGCTGGGGGGCCGGTGTGGAGGCTGGGGGGCCGTCTGCGTGCCCTTCACAGAAAACACTTCCCTATCCGCAGCTATCACGACGGGCCTAGTCACCCCCATCGCCTTTGATTTCTGCCAGCACTTCTCAGAAATGGAAGACACATATAATATTTTACTATGTCCCTGCCTCTCCTTCACCCCCAGATCCCCAGCACTAAAGATATTTAGATACTCACCAGTTTTTCACTCTGTTCAACCATGACCCTCTGTCCTTGGCTGTTCTTACACCAAATAGGCACGTGATCAATAGTCAGCTCTTCGTCAGCCGAGGCGAAGAAGTTTTCTAAAGTCTTACACACTAGCTTGGCCCTTATGAATCCACCTTTCCCTTCGGCGAGGACAGAGTTTACCATGAAGGGTGTCAACTTGAAGAGATTCAATTTCTTCTTTGACTGGTACCTGTAGTGCATATCCCAAAGGAACAGTGTGTGGCTTTACTGGCAACGCCAATTAAGTGCTCCCCATTCCCAACCCCCTTCTCTCCAATGACACAAGGTCACTCTCTGTCATATACGGGTGAGGTTAAAAAAAAAAAGAAAAGAAAGCCGGAGAAGTTGAGCCAGGTCCGTGTGTGACTTGCAATGGCTCCACGAGGCTTCCAGGAGCTCACGTACACTAATCCAGGAGACAGAGAGGCTCGTGGCAGAGCTACCATTCCAGGTACGGACCAGACTCCAAGAGGCCCCGGGGCGGGGGGGACTTGAATGTCCTGGGAGCCTTCACGTCCAAGGGAACGCTGGTTCAGAGGCGCCAGGAGACCTGAGCCAGGTGCACCTCAGCTTAGTCTCCTGCCTCTCGCCCCCCTTCAAGGAAAGCCTAAACCTCATCGATCAGATTGCCCATGTCCTGAACTCCGAACGAGTCATCCTGATTTCCTTCCTGTGCCTGGTTCCAGAGAAACGAGAACACCCCCTCCAACGAGATACCGTTACTTATAAATGATGTAATGTTATGGGGTAAAAGTGCATGTCACTAAGTCTACCTTTATGTTTCCTGCCTGCAAATGGAGATAAAAGCATTACATTTCCTTAGTGTTGTTGTGGTGTAAGTTCACATGTGATCATGATGACCGCGACACACACACAAAAAAAACAGTAACCAGACATAACGACGACGGTGGCAACGCAATGCTCACTTCCGCCCGACGTGTCCATAGGCCATGGAATGAAAGGTTTTGCAGATGACATTGCTGGGGAAGACTAGCTCGGCCTGCTTTGCGATGCTCTTATTGAATGTCACATACAGAAACCTGCTCCCAGACCACTTCTCAGCGTACTTGACCAGGGTAGAGGTCTTCCCGGTGCCTGGGGAAGCCAAGAGGAAAGGAGGTGACCCTCTGACCAGGAAAAACTGTTCCAAAGGATGCTCTAATCGGGTCTTACCCACGCTTAGCTCGCCTCTTGCTTGAGACCAGACAGTGACAAGTTTTTTCGATACTGACAAAAACTAACAGTGGTGTAGTGAAAAGAGCAGCAGATTCCAGGCCAGATTAACCTGCGCTGGGATCGGGCTCTGCTGGGGTCGAGCCAAGTAGCAAAGGGCAAGCCACTTGACCTTGACAAATTCCAGTTTGTTCCTGGGCCATGAGTGGTTGTAACACTGACCTTGTAGAGTCTTGCAGGATCAAGACAATCGTCAAGGGACCCAGAAGAACTCATAAAGTGGTAGCTACTTCTGGCCTAGGAGCCATGGATGTTTGGCGGCAAGAGCTCCCAAATGAGATTCTCTCCCAACTCTCCTGTCTGCCCTACAGCTCCGCCACTCACTATGGCGCTCGGCTAGTCCACTGTCTGTCATTTAGCAAACACTTCCTGAGCACCTGCCACGCACTCGGCTGCATGCTATGCACTGGGAGTATGAGTATGTTAAAAGACACAAAGCTAGACTCCTACGTTAGAATCTAGTTGGAAATAAAATACCAACGCAGCTAAAACAATTAGAACACAATGAGTATAATGGTAACACAGGAGAGTGAAATAATATGGATCTGGAAACAAAAAAAATCTCACCTGTCAAAGAAGGAAAATCGTTCCCCTTGCCCACCCTTACGGAGCTGTTTTCAAGATCAGTGACACGGTGCGGAAGTTCTTATACAACGTGTATGTTGGCTGTTCTTACTACATCATCGGGCACCAAGTAGCTAACGTGGATGCTTGGTTACAGGTAAGAGTTCAGAGATCAAACAGGACTCAAATGACTAAAGAAGCCCCAAGAAGAAACAGAAATGATGGGCGTCAACAGAGCGGGGCAAAGAAAGAGACGGAGGGGGAGGAACGGCAGAAGGAGTGGGGAGGGAGAAAGGCATGTTTTTGGAGAGAAACGGATCCAGCTTTGCATTCTACCTCCATCTCTGATTTGCTTATTAAACCTGGGATGAGTCATTTAAATTTCGCTGAGCTTCAAATCTTTATCCATAAAACAGAGATAATCAACCGACCTTACAGAATCTTGTCAGGATTGGCACATGGCAGGATTTAAGAAATGGTTGTTGTTTTTAGTTTGGCTAATTAGGCAGAAAAGAAGTGGGAAGAAATTCCAGGCATAGAAAATGGTACGAGCAAAGGTTCAGAAAAAAATAATAAACAAGTGCCTTAGGAGATTGTGAGGATAACTAGCTGACTGAGGCAGGAGACTAGTAGCCAGTATACTGAGGAACAGAGGTTAGACCAAAATGGGTGAAGGGCCTCCCAGACCTCACCCGGCAGAAATATGAGCAGGAGACTAGCGTGACCTGCCAGGCCATAAGCCATCAATCAGGGCCTTAGCATGTGTGAAGGTAAATGAGGCTGGGTGGGTCCCGTGGTATCCACCCCACAAACTAATTCCTAAGAGCTACTGGTGTGTTCCACCAGGAACTCCAGCATGCATGCCCCCTGGAGTGGTAAGAAAATGCAAGTATTACTTGGCAACTGCTTCTCAGTCCATTGCACTGCAGTAGTTTGGTAACGGATCACGGTAAAAATACCTTAGCAGGTAGCAGGGGAAGGGGATGTAGTGACAAGGGGTATGAACCCGACTCTGTTCTGTTGCTGGCGAGGCCCCCCTTACCTGCAAATGCCATGATTTTTACCACCTGGAGAGGTTCCATCTTATGGCTCAGAATCAGCTGTTGTTCATGTGTAAGCTGGATGGTTGTTTTCTTGCTATAATCGTTACAGAAAAAAAAATTAAAAAAATACAAAAGAATTGAAAAGACCAGGTGACAGACCATCAAAAACCAAACAGACAAACCAGAGGAATGAAATTTAACCAAAAAGAGGGGCCTCCCTTTGGGGTAATAAAAATGTTCTGAAACTAAATTATAATAATGGTTGCACGCTCAGTAAATTTACTAAAAATCAATGAATTATACAATGAAAAAGGGTGAATTTTATGTAACACAAATTATACCTCACTGAAGTTGTTAAAACAAAACACGTCTCTTCCTTAAGTATGAGAAACAGTCAAGAATGGAAGACACACACACATGCACACGTGCACACACACACGTACGCACACTCATCCACACACGTACCCAGGCCAGACCGTCGGCTCCTCTCTGACCCCGGTGGCCTGAGTACATGAATTCTCCTGAAGATACAGGCAGTAGAAAATGTTGTAGTGAATCCTAACGAGGAAAAAGCAGATGGAGAGATTTTCGAATTAAGTCACAATCGGTACCTCATTTTTCCTTAGATGTATTTAGACTCCTTAGCATTTCTAAAAAGAAAACACCTACCACCATTTTATGAAAAACGGGAAGAAAAGAATTCCGAGCTGACCAAAGCCCTCTGAGAGAGATGCCTGTCTGCAGCGTGTGAAGAGCAAAAGGAGGGAGCCCAGGTCATGCTTTCTGGGGAACGGGGACCTAGCTGTCACCTCACGAGACGAATAATCACGAAAGCGAATGTAGATGCTGCTCCTCGTTCAGCATTAACTTGGGGTCATTTTATCTTTCTGAGCCTCCGCTGCTCTGCTTCCCGCCTCTTGTGAGGTGATACTGGTTTAGAAGCATGAAGAACATTCTGTCTTTTAAGGTCCCAAAGGAAGGGTGCTATGTGGGTAACAAGATACGATTACCAAGGACGTGAAAACGAAACAGCCTCCCAGTCACCGAGAGGGGCTGAAGACGACACAGCACATTCAACAGATGCCTGGACGTGGCCGAACAGCCCATCGCAAGCCACTCCAGGCTGCTCCGTGTGCGCACTGAAGCCAAACTCATCTCCCCCAACGCCAATCGCCCACTGTTTCGTGCCCTGGCCCATCCGCAGAGTGAGAAGAGGTGAGCTCCAAGCGTCGATCTTTCTGATGCAACAAATACCTTTAATAACATAACACTCCTATCTCCAGTCACACTGTCTCCCAGGTAAAGCAGGAAAAAATATACAAACACGAAAACGCGCAGCGTAGCACACCTCCCACTTCTCGTCTATGTCCGTGTCAACATGCAGACAACTTGCAGGCTCACACCTGCACGGAGGACTTCACTCGGCATCTGCGTATCTGTCTTTTCTGAATGTCATAAAGCTCCTTCCCCTGAGCCTCCCCGCCACGGAGTGGGATACCACGGACACAACGGATAGTGAATCGAAACGTATCTCGGAGACACAGCAAATACTTGCACGTTTCTGGAGAAGAAATGCTCACCAGAGATGACGGGCCACAGTTCACCTGCTGCCACCAGCCATGCTCCTCCTGGGGCTCACTCATCCCAGGGAAGGAAATGCTCCGGGGCCTGCCTCCCCAGGGCTGCCGCATCACCCGGCTGCCCATCCCCGGTCGGGGGCCGGGGCCTCCAGCCCGCTGCCCTTCACAGCCTGGATTTCATTCTGACTTCTTCCGTGGCCTACGGCACCTCCCTTCATCCGGTCACTGAGGCCCTCTCATCATCGGATGCTGGCCTCCCTCACCGTCACTACGTCCTTGCCACTAGACACCTTCCGTTCCCTGCACGTACGAAACTCATTCCCATCCTTGGGCCCTTAAATGAGGTACTCCTGCTAAAATGCTCTCCCCACAAACCTTAAAACAGCCAGCTCCCCAGCGTCAGCATCACCGCCTCGGCCCCACTTCAGATCATCAGGCATTAGATTCTTAGGGGAGCATGGGCCCTGGTGCCACCGAGGTTGGGGGCCGCGGGTTCGACGCACCTGCTCACATAGTACCCGCTGCCCTGCACTCGCGCACGCAGCCCACACGGACAGAAGTGTCGCCCGCCTCCTTCGCAGCGGCGCCGCGAGCGCCTGGAAACTGCCCTGACGCGTGACAGGTGCCCAGAACGTGCCGAATGCACACATCCTCCCCAAAGCGGCCTGTGCGTGTCTGCGGCCGAGCGAAAGCACGCGGTCACCGCGAACGAGCAACCCACGTGCTACAGCCCTTGTCACACTAAGATGACAGACGGACAAGAACCACGATTCTCACAGCTTAACCCAAAAAGGTGAGAGACAGAGGAACCAGACCTTAATGTTTTCCTGGAAAACGCAGCCACGTATGGATAAAGAAATCCTTCAGCGAGGGGACTTCCTCGGGCTCCCACGGCCTCGAGGGAAGGGCCTCGGTGGTTAACGTGACGGCTGCGGAGCGCGTTCTATTTGCAGAGTGGAGTTTCGCAGCTCGCCCGGTGTTGACGCAGGCGGGCGGCAGGGCTGGGCCCTGTCGCAGGCCTGGGACGCTCCACACCCGACCAGTGTCTCTGCTCTCCCTCCCGCCGCTTTACCGGTTGCTGATGTTGATGCCCTTCTCCCGCATGGCGTAGAGAAGCACGGCGATGCAGTACAGGGTCTCCGTGGCGTCCGGCACGGTCACAGTGGAGCTAGGTCTGCGGAGGCAGAAGAGTAGCTGCTGGATGTCACTCACGCTGCTGGACAGGAGGACAATGGCTGCTACCAAAGCCCACACGTTGACGCCCTGGAGGGAGAAAAGACCCCAAAACACAGGGCACAGTTAAGAAAAATCACATCAGACAATCCGTGAAGAAACTGTGGGTCAGGCGCCACCTGCAGGTGGTCTGAACTGAGTGAGAACTGTCCAAGTGACATTTGGGAAACGGGAACCTTTTCTTTTGCCCTGGATTCCTCCCTTCTAATCACTTCTGGACTTGCGTTCTTAGCTTTCCTTAATTCAGCAACGTTTATAAAAGCATTTAATACAGAGTGCTGCATGAAGATGGTCCTCTCACACCCCGCCCTCCTCTCCAGGCCAGGTGAGAGCGCCCGGGGCCGCAGATGCTCAGCGGTCACAATAGGATCCCTATTAAATGGGAGTCTGCCCACCAGGGAGGCACAAAAGACGGGACACAAAGAAGGTAGCAGCCTTCGGTGGCGGAGGGGAGGCTGGTCAAGAGTGGCGATTCTCTGGCATTAAGATGTGAATTTACTGCTCGCTTTATTATTATTTAATAATTACTACACGTTAAGTTAAATATGAAATAAGTTATCGAAAATTTATTATTACGAACACGGTAGGCGCCACTTAGCAACATGTAAGATGTTCACTGACATGGAAACAGTGACATACACACAGCCGTATCAGTCTTCATTCTACTATAAGTCTCCCTGTTAAAAAACACATTCCCCCCAAAAAAAAGCACTACCGGAAAGGGAAGGTCCATGCACCTCTCACTGCAACCATCCTGTGAAAGAAAACTCACTCCGCCATCATCGACAATCACTTCACCAAAGACGGAAAGTGATTCGCCCTCTACGGGCTCCAGAACACAGGCTGAGGTTGCACGAGGCTTCCACAATAAAATCCAAAAGTCCCCGATCTGAATGAGGGGCTGCAGGTCAGGAGACAGGACGGCTTCTTGTTTGCGTTAAGCACTGCGCCTCTGCACAGGACCTGCCGGCTCTCTGGCCCTCATGCACTCTGTGCTGTTGCCAAGGGCACGGGCTGCCTCGTGAAGAAGTCCTCATGAACCGCAGTGTTCAGAGGCGAGAGGGGGCCCCCTGCTGTTGAAGATTCCTCAGCGGAACGGGAAACGGACTCCATGCTTTCTAAGACCCCTCTGAATTTAGGAATCTAAACCAATATGGCCCTCTATGTCTCTAATGGGACGAATGACAAGATTTGGCTTTAAAACAGAGATTAAACAAAGATTTCAAAAGTAAATCTAAAACAACCTTCGACTGCACTTAAAGCACCAAACACACTTTCTTCCCATGAGAAAAGGTGTCGCCTGACCCAGGAAGTCCCCACGGCCTCTTCACGTACCGCGGCAGCCACGTAGAGGTCAGGCAGGTGCTGCCGCACGCAGGCCTCTGCCTCAGGAAGGAGGAGGTGATCCCTCAGGCTCCACAGTGCCTGCCCAGGGTCCACGCTCGGGGAGCATTTGGTGGTGGCTACGTAGCTGGAAGACATGCAGGGCAGTGTCCGTGAGGAAGACAATCGATCGCACGTGGTCATGCACCAGAGAGGACAGGGAGACCATCTCCCTGGCGGGAGAGAAGCGACTCACCGGATGAGGTTCAGCACGCACAGGTCGGAGTCCTTCTCTATGCCGTAGCTCAGCAGGATGCCATCCACCTTGCTGACAGCCTGCTCCTCATTCATCAGGTACTGATGATACAGCTTCTTCCAAGGGATGAACTACACGGTTCAAAAAACCCAAAATAACATGTGGGCAGTGGCTACTAGAGAGCACATTAGGTCACAAACATACAGATAACCTTCCGCCAACTTAAGCAATTATAGCTCACAACGCAAAAGCTGGGTGAATGAGGTGGACGTGTTACACAAATGTGGGTTGGACACTAGAATTGGGTCTTGGTTTTGACACTAGCTTATTATAGAATCTGGGGAAAGCTAGTGCTTCATTTCTCTGTGTGAAACATCAGGGCACCATGGCTGAGTTCCTATGAGGATTAAAGAATATGAAAGGTGTGGCTGTGCTAATATCGGACAAAATAGACTGTAAGTCAAAAATTATCAGAGGTAAAGAAGGAGATTATATAATTAGAAAGAGGTCAATTCGCCAAGAAGATGGAACAATTATAAATATTTATGTACCGATAACAGAATTCCTAAATCTAGGAAGCAAACACTGGCAGAATAGAAGGGAGCAACGGATGACAGTATAGGAGACTTCACGACTCCACGTTCAAGAAAGGAGAGAACGACCAGAAACAAAGCACTTGACCGACACTAGGTCAACTGAACCTAACAGATACATACGGAACACTCCGCCCAACAACCGCAGAGTATACAGTCTTCTCAAGTGCACGTGGAACACTTTCCGAAATAGAGCACATGCTAGGCTATAAAACAGGTCTTAACAAAGTTTTAAAAAATTGAAATTATGGAAAGTAGCTTTTTCAATCCTTGTGGAATGAAACTAGAAATCAGTAGCAGAAAGAACACCAGAAAACCCGCAAGCACATGGAAATTCAACAACACACTCTTCAAACAATCAATGAGTCAAAAAAGAAGTCACGAAGAAATTAGAAAAGACCTTAAGACACGTGAAAACAAAAACACAGCACACCAAAACATGGAATACAGTGAAAGTGTTTCTGAGAGAGAAGTGCAGAGCTATAAATGCTTCCATCAAAAAGATCACATATCCACAACCCAACTTTACACCTAAAGGAACGAGAAAAAGAGGAACAAACTAACCCAGAGCCAGCAGAAAGAAGAACGTAACAGACTAGAGCAGAGATAAATAAAAGAGACTAGAAGAAATTTTCAAAATCAGTGAAACTAAGAGTTGTTTTTTTTAAGATCAACAAAATTTATAATCCTTAGCCATATTAAGAAAAAAAGATTTCAATAACAAATGAGAAATGAAAGAAGGGATGTTACAATTGACGTCACAGAAATAAAAAAGATTTTAAGAGCATGTGAACAACTGTGCATCAACAAACTGGATAAGCCAGAAGAAATTGATAAATTCCTAGAAACACAGAACCTACCAACAGTGAATCATGAAGAAATAAAAGATCTGAACAGACCAATGAGTACGAAGATTGAATCAGTCATCAAAAACTTCCCAACAAAAACGAACTCAGGACCAGATGGCTTCCCTGGAGAATTCTACTGAGCATTTAAAGAAGAATATCAATCCTTCTCAGATTCTTCAAAAAACTGAAGAGGAGGGAACACCCCCAAACTTATTCTACGAGGCCAACATAAACTTAGACCCAAGTCAGAAAAGAGACACCATAAGAAATGGGAAGAAAATGAGAGCGGTAATAGGTTACTGAAAATAAACACCTCGTGTCATTGCCAGTGAGGACAGAAGTAGCGTTATTCTAACATTTTGAGAGGTGAGTGTAAGCTGGACTATCTCTCCCCAAGTCTTCTCAAGCAGAACTGAGAAAGCTCTCAGCGACGACTATTCAGTCCACATCAGAGAGATCTCAATTTAGTGGGCAGAAATACTACGACCCAAACCAGAGTTCACATCTAAAGGCAGAAAGACACTTCTCAGAAAGCGGCCAAAGAACGAAGCGAGAGTGATGTCAAATTTCTTCCGAAGTCTTTTGCGCTTAGAAGAAAAATGTACTACGTCTTGATATACCTATCCATCTTGCACTCACTCCATCCCTGAGTTTTTAACCTTTAATGTAACTGAAGGGAGAGTTAATCTTTGCATCTCTGATTTACTCCCAGTGGCTGGTCTAAGGAATACCTAAGACAAGCAAAACATTTCCCGGGTCCTCAGGTCTACCTGAGGACCTGAAGCTGGGGTGGGAAGAAGTGTAATTAACATCAAAGGGAAGAAAAGGGAGCTGGGGCAGTGATACGGCCAGCGGCCACATGGGGAACTCTTTTCTGAGAGCATCGGCTGCCCACTGCATCGACCTCAAAAGGTACTCCGACACAGCGCTGCCAGGTGCAAAATACCGCGCGCGAGGCACGACGGAGAATGCAAAACATTTACGGAGCGACCGGCCTGCTGTCGATGAGCCGACGATTTAAAGAGGGAGGAAGGCCCTCTAAGCCACAATACAGAACATGATAAACTTGCAACAGAGGTGAAAATTCCTGTAAGCGGCATAAGGAAGAGAGAGGGAGTAATTTCAGGAAGATGGAATGGGAAGCAGAGTGAGACCCTGAAGAAGGAAGATGTCAACGGAGATCTGAGGGGCCCTTTGCGTGGGGGTGTGGGTGGGGTGGTCAGGCCCACACGGGGCAAGCGGGATGCAGTCTGGGGCGGAGATGCAGCAAGCCGTGTGCTGTGGGCAGGACACGGGCATGTGCTGAGAAGCGAGCAGCGAGGCTGGGGTGACAGGTGGGACAAAGGGAGGGCCTCCTACGCCCCCAGGGAGCCTGGATGTTACTCTGGAGGCAGATGGAAACCGCCGTTTCCGAGGACACGCTGCAATCAGAAGTGTGCGTTGAAACCAATCCGTGTACTTTCAGAGACAAAGCCACAGAACTGCAGCGCCCTACGCACCAGGGGGTCGCGAATGATCTCCCGCCACAGGTGGCACACCAGGCTCAGGTTCCAGCAGAGGTCTTCCACGGGGAGGAAAGCAAAGATGTGCCTCAGGACTTCGCTGGGCAGGCTACAGATGTGGCTCTGGGGCTCCTGGCAGGGCAGGGTCCCGAGCAGCCCAAAGTAGGAGTCGGGGATGAGGTCGGGGCCCGCATCCTCCATCTCCTGGCTAGATTCTTCAGACTCTGCGGAGAGCCATGACAGAGAGTCCCCTGCTCCTTGCCTGGCGTCCCTGGGCTTTGCGTAGGACAGGGACGACCGGTGCCGTGGGGTTTTCTTACAAACCCCGTCCCCCTGACTGGTCCCTGTCGCTTGGCTGCTCTCGCCCTCGAAGGACCAGGAACGCTTCCTTGCAGGCAGAGCGGAGCCTGGCGAACCCCGTCTTGCTTCCCTATCGCCGTCCTGAGGCAGGGCACAGCCGCTTTCTGCAGCAAAGGTCATTTCGTCCTCGGAGTCCTTAGAGCTGTCTTGGCCCACAGAATTGCTCTTGGCCATGTCATTGGTGCATCGCTGCTGACCAGCTGGGAGGAGCTCAGTGCTGTATCTCTGCCATCCTTGACCTGTGCAGAGAACCCAAACAGAACGAATGAAAAAGGGATCACGACTGCTGAACTATTGTTGGCCCAGACGAGACAAACTAAGTTTCAATTACCTATACCGACAGGGGAGAGAGACAAGGATATAGTGATTGGCCAAATGATTTTATAAAGAGCTTAATCCAAAAACACATTCGTAGTTGGTTCTTCATATAGTCAGACACACATCTGGAAAGAGACAGAGACCAGTCTTCAGATGGTGTGAGGTCCATGTTACATTCTGTGACATAGACACACCGAATACGTGAAGAGAAGGACGAAAAGCAAACGACTGCTCATTCACACCTCCACGCCTCCTGCCTTGCTCTTACAATAATAAAAACATCTAAGTTTGCTTAAGTAGAAAGGAAAAGGCTTTAGGTTATCAGGATTCAGTGAAACCACTCTCACCATGTGACAGTTAAAAACTTTTCATTTTCTTTTCCTCCCGTGAAGCTTAATTTATTTCAAAAAGGAAGGAGTCAGAATTCTCTTCACATTATTAGAGTGGAACCTAATCTAGTCTACACATTTATTCAGCAGGCATTTACTAATAAGCACCGCTGATTCTGAGACAAAAATAAAGTAAAAACCGATATACATACTCCCTGACCTCACAGACTTTATTGGAGCTTAGGGGAATCAAATGGTGATTTCGCATATCACCACTGCATTTTAAACTCCTATAAATTATTGTAAAATGCCAATGACATATTTAAATGCCTTATCGACATACAACAAAACCCATGGTTCCTTCCTGAAATGACCGTAGCCAGAATTCTCACTTTGGAAAATGAGAGAATAGAACAAAACTAGGGTTAGCTTTTAATAGAATTTAAAGACTTTAATACATATATTTTTTGTGTTTGAAAAAGAAAAAAAACATAACTGCTTCTGGGCAGTTTGACGGAAACCCAGAGTTCTGCGGTCAACAGACCTGCGTTAAATTCTGATATTTTCTAATTGCGGAATAATCATAGCGGTGTCTCTGGAGAGACTACTACATGCCCCACTGAAAAACACAGGTACTGACAAAGTCCTTGTCAGTAAAAAACTCACAGCACAGAGAAGTGGACTCATATACATGAAATAAAATATAGTTTAAAACTGCCCCATAAATTGGTTATGGCAGTTCCAAAAAATGATAAACACATTTACAATATTTAAAGAAAACTAGATAAGATGTGAGTTGGATTCTGAAATTAGATGCGTCGAAGGGAAGTAAGGCGATCTGGATCACACTAACAGCTACTGACATAAGGGGCATGTAGATTGGTCATAAGAAAACCGAAATGCCACGAAAACAGCCTGCATGTAACAGATAACGAACATCGGGTGAGGGCAGGTTTGAGCTGGAGTCACAACAGTGACAGGGAGACACGGCACTGTAGGTTCTTCATAGCGGCCCTGATTCGACAGGAAATGGTTCTCGAGAACATTAACATGATGATGTACGTCCCAAATGAGTTGAATAACATCTGAAGGCAAGGAGAGGAATTACTGCAGCAGCCCGGGTCCGAGGCCGCAGAGGGTGGAGTCTACCATGAAGCCGCTGGGTGAGGACACGGTCTGGAGAAAAATGATCAGTGACAACTGGACAAAGAGGACGACTGCAGAGTAGGAGATCACAGCGGCTCCCGATGGGAACGGCGGTGACATCGGTCCGTGTTTTCTCCCACGTTATAATTAAGCAGGCTGACGGCATTCATTCGGTCATGTTTTCCTGGGGCTTGTACCGACCATTATAATAGCATGGAATTTTCATGGAAAACCCTCAGATAATGAAAAAAGTGTCAAACTGTTGCAACAGGATTACAAAATCACAGCAGCAATACTTACAAACACTGGGAGACAGTCTAAGGCCACACACGCTACATACAGATTCGAAATGCAAGGTACTTTTTTGGAAGACATACCTCTAATCCCTCTTTTTGTTCTGGGTCTAGGGTAGAGACCGTGGTTTGGGTCTCTGTTTGTCCATCTTTGACTGAAGGGCTGGGTCGCGGCCAAGTGACTCCGAGCCAAATGCTGGCAGTCGATGGCTGTAAGATGCTTCCGTTTAAACCGTCTCACTGTTTTGTACCAATAGGCAAAAGAAACGGGACATTTGTTAGTTAGCACCAACTCTTCAAGCTAGCTGGCAAATTATACTTAATTTTCAGGAATGGACCACCCCAGCCAGCCCCTTCCTTTTTCCCTATATTCCCACTAACTTCTAGTCGTTTCATAGTTTCTTAGCATTTCTTCCTTAGAATTTAAGAAGGACTCCTAAAATAAGATCCTAAAAAGACTTGCTTTATTATACTCTCTAGAAGCCCTGGTCATGAAATACTCATTCAATAAGAGGGATAAATTGAGGTCTGGCATCGTTTCTCTGACGTTAGCCAGGACATTTATGCTCCCATAATAACCACTAATATGTAAGAGTTTATATTTAAATACAAACTCATTCATCATCCCTTGTACCAGCTTCTTCAAGTTTCAGAAGCAGAACGCAGTGACTAATAATGAAACCACCATAATTCCTAAAGACCACACTGCACGCCTCTAAGTCCCCAGTGGATCTCAGTACTGGGCACGGGCTGGGAGCAAGGCTCCTAAGTAGAAGAGAATCGAATCCACTTTTAAGGATCTTTAGAGCAAATTTAGTATCCTCTCTTAGCAACATATTATAGCAACAAGTGTACCTAGAATTCTGTCTCAAGTGTTTAGATACCTACCCCATCTGTACTATCCCCCCAAATTCAGCTTTTTGGAAATATACAAGACAGAGGCTGACAGCAGATTTGTACAGAAGAGGTATTCAAACATACATAATGCAACTTTTTCTGTAAAAAGTTTGTAAAAATGACTATATCCCAGCATTCTTCAGCCAACTAAGTACAATAATGACGCCACAGTAAAAATAAAGAGGCACTGACAACCACCACCAACTAAGAAGTCATGTCTTACTCACACGCCTAAGAGTCAAACCACGCTCCAAGGTAAGGACGTATTCTGCGTCCCCTGCATGGAGCATGCAGCACGGGTTCAGCAAATTCAGAAAGAGTGGAGGAGGAGACAGCAAGGTCACAGTGGTAAGGCTGGGGGGAACCCGAGCCCCGAACCACTAGGATCTGCTGTCACACCGCTTTCGTGAGGCACCTGGCAAGGGCAGACCACCTTAAAAGTGTCACCGCGGACGGACAAGAGAGCATCAAAAATACTCAGAGACTGTTTTGGAAAAATAGGTAATCTGTATTACCTTTTATTTATGTATTCATTTTTGTAAGATATGTCTGAATCTTAAGCGCTTGTTAAAAGGCTAAATGTGTGCAGAATTCTAACAGAGGCACGGGAGCAAAAGAAAGAGGTAAGGGGAGTGGGTGGAGGAACAGTGTCCTGCTTCCAGAATGCTGGGGTGTTCCAGTGTATTCTGGCACAAAGCCATCGGGGCACAGCTAAGGTTAACAGCTAGGGGCAGGGGCGCCTAGACTGGCCAGTCTGGCTTCTGGGTGCTAACACAGCTGGCTCCGCTGTCCATTTGGATGGTGTCATCTGCATCCCCTGGGCCATGACTGCTTCTCGGGGATGCAGAGCTAACACTTTCATTGTATTTACATAGCAAAAATTACTAGTTGGACCTCCGCTGGACAGATGTCAGGAAAACTAGACTGTGTTTCATCTGCCCCTCCCATCTCTGAGAGGTGAAGGGCTGCGAGTCACTGAACTGGACGCCAGGAGCCCCGTGTCCACCTCAGGAGTTAAACAAATGACTGAACTAAAAGGCTGCGTGGCTATTCCGATATGGAGTCACAAGGCCTCCTCCTCTTGGGCGGTGCATTAATCACTAAAAGTCTGACTCCCTTATCATTAAAAACAGGGATTATAATAACCCGCCACACCAAATTCACAGAATGAGGTTCAATTGACATGGAAGTACTTTGTGACACCCACACTGAAGCTGTCAGCTGAAATGTCAGAAGAATTACATGTCGACAACACCATTCTGAGCGTCTCCTAAAAGGTACATTACGTTCCTTTTAATAGGATTGATATTCTTGCAAAATTATTTTTAAAACTATACTAAAAATCTAACCGCCCTTCTATTCTTATTAATATACTTTTAAACCAGCAGTTCAAAAATAACTTTATCCAAAGAAAGATGCTCGAATGCCCCCTCTGCCTGCCGAGTCCCACTCCGCATGGCGCTGCTCCCGTACATGGGGACTGCACGCTGCACACCTCTGACAGGGCGCTGACTCTGAGCAGCTGCTCACGACTCTTCAAGGAGCGAAGCCAGCGCTCGGTGATGAACGTGCCCAGGAGCAAGACGGAATCTCTCGTGGACTTTCCCAACTCTGTAAGGCCAAACTGCGTGCCCTCCATACGTAAGTGGGTATCTGAACCCCTCCTGGAGACTCTGCCACAGCGACTGACAGAAATGTGTCCTATCCCTCAGGTGTTAGGACACGAAAAGCACTGAGACTGTGACAATCGTTTCGTCGAACAGAATCATTGCACCCTCCTCCACACCGCATTTCCCGCGATGGCTTTCTTATAGCATGACGTCTCTCTGACCCCCACTCCCGTGGCCCCCGCTTCTAGATGCCCCAGCTCAGACTGCTGCTTCCCAGTCTGTCTGACTTCAAAGTGGTGATTACCTGGAGTCTGGCCCTTTACCCATCGTCACCTCCTTCACCTTGATGCTGCTGTCCCATCCCAGCCCCACTCCCGCCCAGTCAGGCCCACTGATGAGACTAGGAGCAGTCTCCTCTGAAATACAGTTACTACTAAACCTCTAGACCGCAAGCCCCTAAAAGATGCACCACGTCTCATCATCTTATTCCTCACAGTACTTAGCACGTTACTTTGCAAATAACAGATACTCCGATACTTGTCGAATGAGCAGTCAGCGGCTGATTCCTCGATTCTGTGTTAATACGCCTGGCTTCACATTTTAATCCTTATTGCAAAACGATTTACAAAACAAGCCACGGAAAGGGAAACGGAGTGCTTTGGGTTGTGGCAAAGACTAGTTCCTCTTCTCCCTCACACACAGCTAGGATCCATCTCCCCGTCCTGCTTGCGGCAGGAAGTCACCTTGACCGAGCTCTAGCCCAGGGAATGTGAATGAATAAAGGGGCCGTGTGCCTCTTCCAGGCCTGGCCCATAGAAACCTCTCATGCGCACTCCACTCTCTGCTCCGCTTCCAGGGAACGGGGAAGCAGATTCTCCAGAGCAGCCTTAGAAGATACTCGTTCAAAAAGGCAGTGCCTCCAGCAGCCTGGGTCTTTGGATTACGGCTTTAAAGAACCGTACCCCACCCCGCCTCCCCCCATACACACACTGCAGCAACCTGGACCCACCTCAGCCTGTTATAGCATTAAGAAATGAGCTCTGGCTGTGAAGGCATTAAATGTTTGCATCTCTCACTGCAGCCAAACTTACCCTAACCGTTCCAGGATCATTTGAAATTGATACCAAGTAGTTCCTTTCTTCCACTTCCTTTAACTAGTCATTCTTATACCAAAACGTCCTCTAAAATTTACAGCTTACAGGCTGCAATAGACAAGATGAAGATAATAGCTGCCTACAATTCCTGGAGGAAAAGACTATTATTTAAAAAAAAAAAAAAATTAAGGTAACGCTAGTACAAGGCACCCGCTGGACAGACTGCCCACGAGAACCGCAGAGGGCAGTCTGCTAATCTAGACACCTTACTGAGTCGCCTAACCTCTGTCATCTGTCAGTTCCTTACAAGCCTCTCACTTTCCTCTGAGGGACTCTGCGAAATCGACAAGGAGACACTTGCCCTCGGGCGTGTCTGCAGAGACAGGAGACGCACCGCAGCGTGATCATTATTACAAGGATTCCGCACTGCGCATGTCAAGCCGCCACCTGTGAGACCTAAGAGTACAGTTTAGACACAGTTAACAGTGTCATTCCCTCACTCCAGCATGGGAAGCACCTTGCCTGCTGCTATAAACTGCCCTGTACATCTCTGAGATACTTGTCACAACTATCTGTACGATGTGTTTAATAGCGTCGTATACAAATTATTATTACTGGAGTATATTTTATTATTGCGTGATTAACAATTGTTGAGGTGTGTACTGATGTGTCTTCCACCCCTGGACTAAAAACTCTATTGTCTGGCGGGAGGGAAGAGCGAGGAACTCACGGGGCCCCAGCACCCACTGAGCATGGCTCCATGAATAATTGTCAATTAAACGAACAACTGCTCAACGAAAGTGCTTCCCTCTAAAGAAGTTCAGGTTCTGTTCCTTAGCTTTGAAACCCTGTAAGATCTCAGGGCTCCTAAATGCTTCACAGCTTTTGAAGTTCTTTTTCATATTCTCGTTTGATCTTTGCGTGATCCTACGATCGTGCCGTGATTAAACTGGGGCTCAGAGAAGACTTGCTTGAAGTCACGACACAGCTTGCAGGTGACGGAACGTGGGTCTTTTGACTCCTCAAGCCCAGCGTTCTTTCTGCTGTAACATTCTTCCTTTTGTGTCCAGACGGATTTCAAGCAGCTTCTAAAAACCTCGGGTTTAATTTCTATGTCGCTTTTCAAAATCAGCATGAATCGTCAGAACCAAAGATTTAATAACAAACAAGTATTTGGAAAACATAATTATAAGGAAAATATCACTAAATACTGTAGACTCAAAACGTAGAGCAAAAACTTCAAAATATTTCGTTTTCGTTAGCTCTAAAAGAAACAAATGCAGCGCTGGCTCCTTCCTGAGGACTCGCTCTTCATGCAAAGCTAGGTCCTTCCCCAGAGCCACAGCCCACACCTCTATAAACCCAAAAGTCTAGTCTCCATGCTCAACTGTCATCAGTTTCCTCACATCCTGCAAACACCTGCTCCTCCCTGGGAGACACGTGCACTTCACACGGAGACTAGGATGGAGAGAGCTTCTCTATGTATGCTTCTTGCAAGGAAATGGAGGAATGGTGAGGAAAACACACACACACACACACACAAAGATCATTATTTATAAACTAGAATATATTTTTGCACACACACACACACACACACACACACAAAGATCATTATTTAGAAACTAGAATATATTTTTATAGATTTGAAAGGCTTTTTCCACTGTCAATTCATTCCACGACCACTTTTAACTACTATGTCCAAGATTCATTATAAACGCCATGAGTGCTTCCTCTCTTGGTATGTCTGGTGTCGAATGCTACTTCAGACACTGAACATACAAAAATAAGTAAGACAGTCTGCCCATGAGGCAGCTACCGAAATGAACACAAATTACTGTACATAAGGCAATGTAAGTTCTACACAAACGCACACATGATGTGCCATGACAGCAAAGAAGAGCAGTCGGAGTTAGGGAAATGGCTTCAGGAAGAGTTTGGCCTCAAAAGATGAGTAGGATTCAGTATGGCAAAATAAACAACATGTGCAAAAACACAGAGAAATAACACGGCGTCGGCGTGATGGAAAGTTGGGTTTCATTAGAACAAGAGGTTCACAGATGGGGGACAAAGCTGGAAAAGGAATTTGGAGGCACGGACTATAAAGGTCCTTAAGTACAATGCTAAGGAAATTGGAATTTATCAGCTAGGCAATTCAGAGAATCATTCAGCTTTTAAGCAGGGTCGATGCGCACTCAAATTTACAGGGCAGGACAGTAACTCTGGAGGTAGCGTAGAAAGAAGATAGGTAAACGTGAAGACTGTCAGAAAGACAAGACAGAAAGTCGCTTTACTAAGCGAAGCCAGAGTTGGTAAAGGCCTGAAAGCATCAGCGGCATAAATAGGTAGAGGAGAATGTGAAGATCAACAAGTCGTTTCTGACGAGACTGGGAGAGAAAGAGGAAAGAGACAGAGCAGAGAGAAATGACATTTCCAACTAGAACTTAAATGACAACGTCATTTTACCATGTTAAGGAGTCAAGGAGAAATAGTGTTTTCGCTTTAATCACTTTTTCCTGGACTGAGAAGAGGATGCGAGTTTTCAGTTTTGAAAACAGTTGTTGGTTTTGTTTTAAAGTTACCTGTGAAATGCCAGGTAAAGCTCCTGGCGTGTGAATGACAGTTGGAGACATAGATTTGAGATGCTTTGTGAAATGCTTCCAAGTAGGTGATTCTACAGCCAGAAGGGCAAAGACAGAACCAAACTCGGTCTTCAAATAAAATCAGCCCAGGATGGATAGAAAGATATGATAAGCAGAGAAAAGATGATGGCGACAAATTTGAAATTAGACTTTTAAGTCCAATACCAATAGTTTGGTGTTCACACTCTCAGAGATCACAAAACATGTCAAATGATCATGACACCAACGACCACAGCTGAATATTACATAACCACAAAATACATTAGAGAACAGAAAGGAGACAGCCGAGTAGCAAATGATAATGCCAATGTGACCACATGTGAACTGAGACTGTGAAGGCCAGACCACAAACTCCAAAAGTCTGCGCAAAAGACATGGGTAGCCCAACTGGGAAATCAGCAAGACCCAGAACAGCTAGCTCCAGCTATGCTTCAGAAAATCACAGGGGCCGTGGAGAGATTCACAGACACTATCATCTAGTTATCTAAAGGGGGCTACAGACTCAAATAAGTTTCTAAAGAGGACAGGTCAGGCAGAGTTGAATTTGACACCAAGTAAGTAACTCATCATTCGGATTTAAAATATTCTGTTGGATTGTGCATCCACGTGTTCCAGTTTTGTTTTAAAAAACAGGGAAACTGGAGGCATAAGGAGAGAGAAGGTGTGGTGATCTGTAATGGAGCGGGGGGTGGGGGGGGCGGCACTAGCAGCAAAAAGTGTGAAACTACCAGATGTCTCGACTTCCACCTGCAATGACTCCAACGGCAGCAGAACGAACGCTTGGCATGTTCTGAAACTTCCTGCCCTTCCAAGCACTTTATGGTTCCTCTTTTTTTTTTTTTTTTATTGAAGCGGCAAGATACCCAACGAAACAAACACTTTGGCAAGTTGACCCTGGACCTAGTTCTGCCTCCTTATAACTCAGCGTGTTAACCCGGTTCGATCTGCTCAATGGTAAAATGGGCTTGTTCTCATAGGCTCATACCAGAGGACTTTCTCCATTTTATCTTCCTTAATTTATTTTAGCACAGGCCAGGCTCTGGCAGACACTGACTAGTACTACCATCCTTCCTGCCACAGGGCTTCATTACCTAGACTTCTGTGGCAAAATCACTAACTTCTTTAGGTTCAATAACCCCCCTCAATGATGCCTTAAGAGTCCTATGCGGGTTACATAATTAATGTGAAGTGCTTTGTAAACCCATAGCGTGCAATGTAAGATGTAAAGCACAACTGTTTCTAGAACTGGTAAATAGTAGCAACTCCCATTTTACCTTTAAAAGAACGGCAAACACCAAGAGATTTAAACGACTAGTACCTAGTAAGTTAGGGGAACGAACTCAACACCTACCTAAATCCCTTCCATCACCTCACATAGCTTGCTCAGATCTCAACGTATCCTCCACAAGCTCAGGGCCTTCCCACATCACCTTAATTTTCTTAATATTCAGGTAAAGGGTAGAGAGGCTACAAATGAAAGAGGCAAAAGGACACAATAAAATGACTTGCCCAAGGTCAAAACCCCGGAGCAGAAAAGGAAACGCTGGCTTGCAGGCAGCCAAGGCCACGTCCCCCGTGACTCCCACAACCACGGAGAAACGACGAGCTCCCCACTTCCCGGGCGCAAGGACGCGGTGTGGGGGTGCCCCCG